CTCCAGGCGAAGTCCGCCTCGTCAGTTTGCACATGATGGAGCGCCTGGCCGAGGAGTATGGCGCAAGGGCGGTGCGGACGCTGACGGTGCAGTACCGCATGCACCAGGCCATCATGCGCTGGGCCTCTGACACCATGTACCACGGGCAGCTCACGGCCCACCCTTCTGTGGCGGGGCACCTGCTGAGGTGAGTAGCTCGGCCCCACCCTCCGCCCCATCCTTTTGCCCTGGCTAATCCTCTGTGTCACCTGTTTCTACACAGCAAGCTAAAGTGAAGCTTTCTGCGTGAAAGTCGACTCTGAGGCTAGCTTTTTGGAAGAGAAGGTGGCCTTGCCCTGGAGAGCTGGGTCAGGCCCGCTGGCTCCCATCTGATGTCCTGATGTGCTCATTGTCCTCCCCCGCCTAAGCCTTTTCCTCGTGGGAGGGGTCGGTTCTGTTGGGTGGGGCCTCAGTGCTGCACTGTGGCCCCCCTGATGTGCTCCCTCTCTACCTGTGTGCCAGGGACCTCCCAGGCGTGGCTGCCACAGAAGAGACGGGTGTGCCCCTGCTCCTGGTGGACACCGCCGGCTGCGGGCTGTTTGAGCTGGAGGAAGAGGACGAACAGTCGAAAGGGAACCCTGGTGAGCTTGCTTGCAGACGGCCAGCTTTTTTGTTTAAACATTCCTCGAGCTCTTTAAAAATTAAAGGCATTTTAATTGCCTAATTCCGGGAGGAGCTGAGAGCAGTTGCTGATGGCGGTGGAAGGTTTAGAGCCCCACACTCCAAGAGGCTGAGCAGCTTTGTATTCTCCAGGGTGAGCAGCCCGCTACTGGGTGAGATGGGCCTGGCAGCATTTCATGGCCTTCTCCTGAATGGTGGCCCAGCTCTGCCTGGCTGGTCTGGCCATGGGAACTGGCATTGCTCAGCTGACACCACCATCTCCCCAGTTCCACGTTGAACAGGATGCACGGCCATAGGAGTCAGAAGGCCTTCATTGCTGATGTGAAATTCAAGTTAGCTGGGCATGGCTGGTCCTGGGGCCCTGGGACACAGATGTTTAGCTCCCAGGAAGCCACCTGAGGCACAGTGGAGGATCAGCTGGCCATGATAGACAGAAACGTGCCCGAAACATGTGTTGGTGATGGATGTCCGCTCAGGGCGAGCCTGTGCTGCCTCGACCGTTTTTTTCTTTCCCTCCAGGCGAAGTCCGCCTCGTCAGTTTGCACATCCAGGCTCTGGTGGACGCTGGTGTTCCAGCCCGTGACGTTGCCGTGGTCTCGCCATACAACCTCCAGGTGCGAGGGGCTCCTTTTGTCCCTCTGCAGAGCAGCTGGGGTTCACACAACCTAGAGGCTGAAAGGAAAAGGGTGATTTGCTGGCTGTGGTGACTGAAAGGTTCAGGGGTAGGGCCGACCTTATTGTGATTGGATCCAGGACCCACATGATGTCGTCAGGGTCCGTTCTGCGTGTTCGTCTGCCCGCCCCGCCCCACCCTGCCCCAGCTGCCCTGCCCTGCCCAGTGCCCCAGCCTTCTGCACTGGCTTGTGTTCTGGCCAGACTTCCCAGGTGACCCCAGCAGCCTCAGGCTGACACAGCCCTTCCACAGGCAGCCCTGGCAGAACACCCTGTCCTTTTCTGGCATCTCCCTCAGGGGCCTCAGCCTTGAACCTTGTTGGTCTGACTCAGGTCGTGTTCCCATGCGTGTCTCATCTGGCAGGAAAAACGTACCTGCGGGAGTGTGGGGAGGGTCTGTGGAAGTGGCCATCACCCCTTCCTGGTGTGCGGGCATCACACACAGCGCTGTCTGAGGCTGGTGGCTGTCATGAGCCGAAAGAAATGATAAAACGCCAGGGGCAGGGTGTCGTGTTGGCATCATGCGTGCCCGTGAGGAGGGCGGACGGGCAGCTTTTCCCCGTGGGGCTCCTGCAGGCTCCCCTCCCCAGGTCCTGGCTGTTGGGCGGCACGAGTCCCTCTGCTGAGCTGAAGGGCAGGGTCTTGCCGAGCTGGCATGGGGGTGAGGAAGCCACAGCCTGGCTGCTGTTTCAGGTGGACCTGCTCAGACAGAGCCTCGCGCACAGGCACCCCGAGCTTGAAATCAAGTCCGTCGACGGCTTCCAAGGCCGAGAGAAGGAGGCCGTGATACTGTCCTTCGTCAGGTCCAACAGGAAAGGTATGGAGCCTCGCCAGAGTCCTCTGGGGACAGCACAGAGGTGAACTTATTAATTCAGGGGCATATTAGGTGTCTGCTGGGTGCCACGCTGGTTTCTGCCAGTGTACTCGTGGTGCAGCTTCTGTCCTCGGTAAGCTCACATCAGGCAAAGCATAGGCAAGAGAGTCTGCGGAGGCTCCGAGGCGTGAGTGTGCTGTCAGGGAGCAGGTGGCTGGGGTGGCAGCTGGGGGCGCAGGGTGGACTGGGAATGACCGGTTCACCCTGCTGAGGAGGTGGAGCCCCTCCAGCCCAGAGCTGGCCTTTAGCCTCTGTGCACAGAGCCGCGGGGCGTAGTGGTCGTGGCTGTGGGTTCTGTGCTGCTGTGGTTTGTGGGCTTTCCATTCGGGACGAGAGTTGTTCCCAGAGGCAGGTTTAGTGAATGGGCTTTGTGAGACGTTCTCAGAAGGCAGAAAGCAGATGAGGCCTGCCTAGAAGCTATGGGGGAAAGCGGGGAAGGTGTTGGAAGGTTTCTTGTGCTTTCTCCCGGGTGCCACCTGCAGCCACACCCCAGGCAGTCCCTGAGGCTGGGCTTAGATGGAAGGAAAGGAGCGACAGAACCCAGTCGGGTTCCCCAGAGCCCCACTCAGTCAGCTGTGGCGGCCAGATGCTAGGGGAGATGTGGTATCACGGTGCCATGCGTGGCTGGGCAGCTGTGTAGATGGTGTGCCATGTGCAGGGGACCACACTTTTGGTGGTGGTTACTGATAAGAGCATAGGAGCCTGACTCTGTTTCTTAGTCTGAAACCTGCTTTTCACTCCCCTCTGGCCTTTTGTAGGTGAAGTTGGTTTTCTTGCTGAGGACCGGAGGATCAACGTGGCCGTCACCCGCGCCCGGCGCCACGTGGCGGTCATCTGTGACTCCCGTACTGTCAACAACCATGCATTTTTGAAGACCCTGGTGGAGTATTTCACACAGCATGGGGAAGTACGCACAGCCTTTGAGTATCTTGATGATATTGTCCCAGAAAACTATTCCCATGAGAGCTCCCAGGGTCCCAGCCATGCTGCCACAAAGCCCCAGGGCCCTGCTACATCCACCAGGACTGGAAGCCAGCGGCAGGAGGGAGGCCGGGAGTCTGTAGCAGCTGCCAGACAGGGCCGGAAGAAGCCAGCTGGAAAGGCTCTGGCTGCTGAAGCCCCATCTCAGCCCAGCCTCAACGGAGGCAGCCTGGAGGGAGTGGAGAGCCAAGACGGCGTGGACCACTTCCGGGCCATGATTGCGGAGTTCATGGCCAGTGATAAGACGCAGTTGGAGTTTCCACCTTCCCTCAATTCCCACGACAGGCTGCGGGTCCACCAAATAGCCGAGGAGCACGGGCTGAGGCACGACAGTTCCGGGGAAGGGAAGAGGAGGTTCATCACCGTGAGCAAGAGGGCCCCGCCGGCCCCGCGACCCCCAGCAGCCCCGGGACCCCCAGCAGGGACCGGTGGCCCAGCCCCTCTCCAGCCAGTGCCCCCCAGCCCTGCGCGGACGGAGCAGCCTCCCAGAGAGCAGCGTGGCCCAGACCAGCCTGATCTGAGACTGCAGAGGGTCAGGAGTGCGCAGGGGCAGCCTGCCAGCAAGGAGCAGCAGGCCTCGGGGCAGCAGAAACTTCCAGAAAAGAAAAAGAAAAAAGAAACCAAAGGTAAGTCAACTAACAAGAACATGGGGCAGTGTCCCCTCACTGGGGTGCTGGCCCCACTTGGAACCTGCCTGCCACCATCAACAGAAGGAAGGGCTTCCTCCGGGTGGCACCATGCTTGTCATTTTAGCTTTATTTTCAGTCATGCCACTCCCAGCTCTGTCTGGGCTCCCCTAGGTCAGCGATCAGGTCACAGGCACCTTCTTGTCCCGGAGCCTGTGTGGGACTCGGCAAGTAGGCAGCGCTCAGAGCATGTTTACGGCAGCGGGCGGGGCCTGGAAGAGCAGACATGGACGGCTCCCTGAGCCTCTTGGGAACGGAGCAGTCATGGGCTCCTGTGCCACGGTGGTCCTGGAGGGTGGGGGTCTTGCCCAGTGACAGGGTGCACTTTGTCTGGAAGTCGTCCTGGGCAAAATGCTCAGAACCACAGGGGCTGGCTGAGCGCAAAACCATTCTTGCCCATTGGCCGTGCGGAGTCCCTGGGTGGGCACTGCTCCGTTTGCCGCATCCTGCATTGTGCCCACCCCACATCCTGCATTGTGCCCACCCCACAGGAGCTGGCCAGGCATGCACTGGGAGTTGGCCAGGCATACGCTGGCTGAGCTTGTAGACCTGATCGGTCTTGGGGAACTCCTGCTGCCGCCATTTTCCTCAGCACGACCATGCAGGAGTTCCAGCTCGCATTGATTCATTGAATTCCTGAAGCGAAGCTCCACCAGCACATGCATGGCTTTGAAAGGGGCCTCCCAGAGCCTGGGGCTCCAGAGGAATTCACTCCAAACCCTTCCTGAGCAGCTACTGTATAGCGCGCTTTGTGCTAGAGGACAGGACTGGTGCCACCCTTGCCCCCAGGCACCCACAGGGTGGCAGAGGGAAGACACGTGAGCTGCTTTTTAATTTTTTTTTGGAATTAATAGAGACGGGGTCTCACTATGTCTCTATGTTGCCCAGGCTGGTTTTGAACTCCTGGCCTCAAGCAATCCTCTTACCTCGGCCTCCCAGAATGCTGGGGTTACAGGTGTGAGCCACTGTGCGCAGCTGTGAATTGCTTTTGAAACCTTAAACAAGGGGTTAGTGTGGCATTGTTGTCTTTCCGTTTGCCTGAGTGACACGGGTCTTCTTCAGGACATCCGGCCATAGATCTGCCCACGGAGGAGGACTTTGAGGCCCTGGTTTCTGCCGCCATTAAGGCTGATAACACCTGTGGCTTTGCCAAGTGCACAGCCAGCGTCACAGCCCTGGGCCAGTTCTGCCAGCTCTGTAGCCGCCGCTACTGCCTCAGCCACCACCTGCCTGAGGTATGTCGGCCTCCGCTCCTGGGATCAGACAGTGGGGAGGGGTGGTGGGGTGCGTCTCCAGGAAGCAGACCCTGGGCAGACTTGTTCCAGTTGGAACAATTAGCTCATTAACGAGCTCCAGATACCTTCGGAAACAGAAATCAGGCACTGACTCATGATCTGTTTTGAGCACATCAGGGCATAAGCAAACAAAATGCCTTATTTGCTGAGCTGCAGCCACGTTAGTGGGAATTCTGGGCAGAGGGAATTTTGTCCCAGTGTCCCTGGGTTCTGTCAGTGGCCTAATCTGGTCTGTTTGGGATAAGGGAGGTGGAAGGCAGAGCCTGCAGCCCGTGGTCTGAACTGGCCATGGCCTGGCTGCTGTGTCGTTCATTCTGAGCCTGGGTCGATGAGAACCCCCGGGACCAGGTGTGGGCTCCTGTGGGAAGCTGAGGTCTGAACCAGCCTTGTCCCTACCCTGGAGGATGCTGGGCCTGGTGGGGGATCTCAGTAAGAGAACAGTATACAGTACCAGGTATTGAGTGCTCCAAGGAAGGAAACCCAGGGCCAAGATGGCAGCAGGGAACCAACCCAGATGCAGCAGTCAGGGTGGGCTTCCTGGAGGAAGTGACACTGGGGCTGAGACCTGTGGTCCAGAAGGTGGGATCTGGGCTGGGGAGAACAGGGCCAATGGCGGGTGGGCAGGCAGGCTATCTACCCTTAGAACATGCATAAGGCCTCAGGCACAGTCAGGGAGTTGGGAGTAGCGTGTAAGGCAGGATAGCTGGAGTCGCGGCTGGGCAAGGCCTGGCAAGCTGCCTGGAGGCGTCAGGCCTGATCTGAAGGCAGTGGGGTACCCTGGAGGGTGTCAGCAGGGCTGTGATGTCACTGGTTTTGGCTGCAGTGTGGATTAGGTAGGCGGAGGCTGGGAGGCAGCGGGAAGTGGCTGCAGGGACTGTGTGGTCAGTCAGGGTGGTGCCATTTCCTGTGTGCACACTCGGGAGCTCCCACCACACCAGGGTACAGACCACCCTGCTGCCCTCCTAACAAGCAGCCTGCAGGGTGAAGGATTGACATGGCAGAAGGAGTGGTCTTCTCTGTTGGGGTGCCTGTGGCCCTCCACCTCTTTGATGGGCAGAGCTGCAGGGTCTGTCTCCTTGTCCCAGTGAGCTCAGCGCTGATTCTTGTGTCCTCCCCAGATCCATGGCTGTGGTGAGAGGGCTCGCGCCCACGCCCGGCAGAGAATCAGCCGGGAAGGGATCCTCTATGCCGGCAGCGGGACCAAGGACAGATCCCTGGACCCAGCCAAGAGGGCCCAGCTGCAGAGGAGGCTGGATAAGAAGCTGAGCGAGCTCAGCAACCAGAGGACCAGCCGGAGGAAGGAGAGGGGGACGTGACCGGCCACATCCTCGCAGGCCCTGCGGAGCTCTCTCCATGCCAGCCCAAGGCACCACCAGACCACGCTCTGCCTACACCAGGGAGGAAGAGCGGAGGGGCCTGTGGGGGAAGCTTGGGTTTTTGGACCCTGGGATGAACTTTTCCAATGTCAAAATGTGGAGAAAAGCACCTGGGGGACAACAGTGCTCATGCAGGTGGGGCTCGGGAAATGCATGTCCCTTCCCCTCACTCCCCGTCCCTTCCCCTCACTCCCCTTCCCTTCCCCTCACTCCCCGTCCCTTCCCCTCACTCCCTGTCCCTTCCCCTCACTCCCCGTCCCTTCCCCTCACTCCCCGTCCCTTCCCCTCACTCCCCGTCCCTTCCCCTCACTCCCCGTCCCTTCCCCTCACTTCCCATCCCTTCCCCTCACTCCCCGTCCCTTCCCCTCACTCCCTGTCCCTTCCCCTCACTCCCCGTCAGAACCCACATCCCAGCATCTGGATCCTGGGGAAGGTTCCAGTCCCTTGGAGAATATCCAGGGCCTCAAACTATTGAAGTCACTCCTCCAGTGTCTGGGACTTGCCAGCTCAGCCCATTAGGATGAGGGTGCTGAGAGGAAACAGGAAATAAGACTCTGCGAATGGCGCTCAGGCGGAGAGCAGGGAGCAGCGTTTGGCTTGCACGTCCCCACGTCCCCGTGCAGCCAGAGGCTAGGGCCACTTTCCTTCCGTCCGCCGTTCGCCGCTGATTGCAGCATTCCCCTGCCCCCTCACCACAGGGCTCCTGTGAGTCTGGGGGTCACCTCTTTCTGGCCTGTGCACCTCTCTGGCTTATAAGGGCGCCTGGCCTGTGCCAGCCCCTCCTTGCTGCGCCTCGCCATGGAGACCAGGTGAGCCGGCTGTCCCACAGCCTCAGCACCATCAGCACCTACGGATCCAGAGCCTCCCGGCCTTCCCCGGTGCCCTGTACCAACTCTTCTATTTAAGAGAACCTCAGACGATGTACCTTAGCCTCAGGGTTTTGTTTCAGAGGGATATAAATTATTCAAACATTAAATGAAAATGTTGCGCACTGTCCCAGTGTGTCTGCTGCGGGTCTAAGGGGCGCACCCTTTGCCGGTTTTGCTCGGCTGCTGTGCCCTCCCTGCCGCGTCTCTCAAGCCCCGTCTCCCTCTGACCTCTCTGCGGCAGACTCTCCCAGTGCAGGCTCCTCTCTCTGTAAATCCCATTCATGTCCTTTTATGTCCCCGATGGTTCTGAGTGAGGTTGAGCTTCCCCGACCTGCACCTAGGGTGACTGTCCCCCAGAGGCCACTTACGCAGTGCATTCGGCTAGTGTGTCCTCAAGCCAGGCCTGCATGCTTTGACTGCCCTGTTCTTGCTGGTCCTGGGCCACTCTCCCCTCCTACCCGGGCTGACGCCCCACCCTGGGCCACTAGGGCCCCTCCTCCTCCCCCCTGTCCTGGACGCCTGCCTTGCCTGCTCCCGTCAAGTGGCTTTTGGACTGAATTGTTTGGGAAGGGGACCAGGACTCTACTGCATTTTGTATCAAGTGCGGTAGAGTTCATCTGGTTGCTTCCGTAAGCGTAGAGTGCCGCTCCTGCAGGCAGGCTGAGCACCGCGCACAGGAGGCTGCAGTTCTCATGCTCCTAGAGGACCCATGGCTGTGGGAGGCGTGCGTGTAATGATGCTTATGGGGGATGAGGGCATCATTGGAAGTATCTCAGTTGACACAGCACACGGGGACAGGTGTTCTTCCTGTGGGGGCGGGGGCGGGGATGGGGGTGCCTGCTTAAGCTCTCTGACTTCCCAGAATCCAAACAGCTGATCAGACTCCTGCCCCGTGGTTGACACGGATGCCGAAAGATGTTGGCTCTTCTGTGGGAGACAGCCGACAGCCACATTCCCTGCCTCCTAGGTTGCCTGTCTGCAGGTAAGAAGGAGGCCAAAGAGAAACAGACCCAAAAATGGGGGTGGAAGAGTGACCTGATGACAGTGTTAGATCACCTGGATGTAGCCGTGCCTGACCTCCACCCCATTCTTCCTGGTGTCCTGAACTAGTAAATCCCCTTTTTTAGCTGAAGAAATCTGCCTTGGGTTTTTGTCACTTGCTGCCAAAGAATCTTTGCTGACCCAGTCATGCCCACATCTGTATATCTTACCGGGTATACCCCTCCCAGCATGGAGGCAGTGCGGAATTAGTGTTGCCCCACTTGTTAGAGAAGGCCTGTACCTTTATCCAGGTGTTCTGTGGACCGTCCCACCAGGAGGAGCTTGAAGTAGAGGAAGGCAGCCAGCGCCAGTGGTGGGTGGGGTGGGTGCGGGGTGGAAGCCTCTGGAATTGGAGGGACCTGAGTCTGAACGCCAGCCAGCACCACCATCCCCTGAGGTGTGGCCTCAGCAAGTTGCCTCCCCTCACTGAGCCTGTTTGTCATCTGTGAAGTGGGACGGGAACAGTTGCTGCCGCGCCAGCTGTGCTGAGAAGTGGAAGAAATGAGGTGTGCAGCATCACGCCTTTGCAGGGCCTGGGTCCGGGTTTGTGGTCTCCCTGGCTGTGTCCCCCAGCCCCCCACATAGAGCCTTCTCCCCTCCACTGCTGACCACCACAGCCCTTGGTGATGCATTGTTCAAATGCCAGAACCCAAGGTTGCAAAACAAAAAGTTTCCATTTTTCATCCCAGAGAGACCTTGTTAGGAAAATATTTGTAGCTGGTTGTTTGAAAAGTACCCTACAGTTTGGCCTGGACAGGGTAACCCAAAAAAAGAAAAAAATATCCCGAGCCAAACGTCTCCCTGGCCAGCGGAGTACGGTCTTGCTGACGGTAGCTGCAGGCTGTAGCCCAGCCGGGCCGGAACCACCCAGAGTGGAGGACTCCTTTCCAAGGGGAACTGCCCACCTCCACCTGTGCAGCTCCCCTGAGGCAGCCCTGCCATGTGCTCCTTTCTGGGGGTGCCAGGCAGGGCAGTGGGCACAGGCGGGAACCCCTGCCCGCTTTGGGCTTTGCTCCTGAGTTTACTTGGGATGTGCTGCATGCCTTGGGGCCTCAGTTTCCTCTGTAAAATGGGGAAGTAACGACCTGTCTCAGGACAGCTGTGAAGATGAAATGATCAAACACACAAGGCCTTGGGCACGGCGCCTGGCGCCTAATAAATATGCTGCCGTCCTCGTCATCTGGCAAAGCAGCAGTGGAGAGGAACGAGACGGCACGTGCCGCCCGTAGAAGGGGTTCAGCAAATGGCCTTTCCTACCAGAGACAGAGGCGAGAGCGCCCAGGCCCCACGAGCCCGCCGGTTGGCTGCTGGTGGAGGTCGCGGGTCCCCCGGTGCAGGTGTGCCTGGCTTCCTTGCACCCAACACAGCTCGCCCCCGCCCTGTGCCGAGTGGGCCAAGGGCGGGCCTTGAGCAGGCCTGCTCTGTTTACCTTGGTTTCTTTGGAGCTGCCCAGAGGGATCCCGGAGTGGGCTGATGGGCACCACACTGCTTTGGGAGGTTTTAGGCCCACATTATAACCCTGGCACTTAAAAGGAATTGCGGTCACTGCTGGGAGCATAGCAAAAGCTGCAGCCTTATTTGGTCTGGAAACTTCTTTGCTTGCAGGAAAAGCGGAGTGGGGAAGCAGCCTCTCGTGTGGGTGGGCAGACTGGGGCCAGTTCTTTGTTACCCTGGGATATGAATTACTTCGCTCCCTCACTTCTGGCCTTCTCCACTGAAGCCACAGCTCACGATCTCCCCGGCCCTCAGCTGCCAATGAGCTATTTTGTTGTGCAGCTTTATCGAGGTGTAATTGTCATGCCATAGAATGCACTCGTTGTAAGTGTACTATTCAGATTCGATGATGTTAGTAAACATGGGTCTGGGCCACCCAACCCCACCCGTCCCTACTGCTGGGTGCTGGTCTGCAGTTAATCTCTGCTCCTGCCCTCAGGCCCAGGCAGTCACCAATCAGCTTTCTGTCCCTATAAATTCGCCTTTTCTGGAAACTTCATATAAATATAGACTGTCCCCAACTCCCAGTGGTTTTGACGTGATGATTTTTTGACTTTACAATGGTGCAAAGGCTGATATGCATTCGGTAGAAACCACCATGCTGTGTTCACGTTCAGTACAGTATTCAGTAAATGACGTGAGAAATTCAACACTGTATTAAATAGGTTCTGTGTTAGATGGGTGTGCTCAGTAAGTGTTCTGAGCATGTGTAGGGTAGGCTAGGCTAAGCTATGAGGCCCAGGAGGTCAGGTGTATTGAAAGCATTTTCAATTTGCAATATTTTCAGTTCCCCATGGATTTGTGCGGATTCCCATCATAAGTGGAGGAACATCTGTATCCAGCCCCTTGCATCCGGGTTCTTCTACTTCACCTGATGCTTTTGAGGTTCGCCCATGTGGTGGCATGTATCAGTGTTTCAGCCCTTTTTATCGTCAAACAATGACCGGTCGTATGGATATACCCATTTAGTGTATCCATTCATATCTACTGGATATTCAGAGTGCCTCCGCTTTTTGGCTGTTGTGACCCATGAGGCTGCTATGAATATTCATTGTTCAAGTCCTTCCGTGAAAACATGCATTTTCATTTTTCTTGGGTAGATTCTTAGAAGTGGAATTGCTGGGTCATATGATAGTAAGTTAGTTTATTTATTTAAGAAACTACCAAGCTTTTCCAGAGAGGTTATACCATTTTACATTCCTACCAGCTATGTATGCAGGTTCCAGTGTCTCTGTTCTTGCCGACATTTGGTATTGTCTGATTATGATTACTATTACCGCCATGTTAGTGGGTTTATACTATGATCTGACTGTATTTTTAATTTGTATTTTCTTAAAGACTAAGGATGCTGAGCACCTTTCTCATGTGCTTATGGGACATTTCAGTATCTCCTTTGGTAAATTTGTTTTTCTTTTTTTTCTCTCTCTCTCTCTCTCTCTTTCTCCTTCCTTCCTTCCTTCCTTCCTTCCTTCCTTCCTTCCTTCCTTCCTTCCTTCCTTCTCTCTCTCTCTCTTTCTTTCTCTCTCTCTCTCTTTTCTTTTCTTTCTTTTCTTCTTTCTTTCTTGCCTGTCTTTGTAGCTCAGGCTGGAGTGCAGTGGTGCAAACAGAGCTCACTACAATCTCGACCTCCTGGGCTCAAGGGATCCTCCAACCTCAGCCTCCCCGAGTAGCTTACAGGCACATGCCACCACACCTGGCTAATTTTTTTTTTTTTTTTAAATAAAGAT